AAATTAGCCATCCAAGCAGTTAGAGCAGTGATCATGATGTCACTAAAAAGGTTGTTTTCACAGTAGGAATGCACCATTTTTCATTGCAAAACTGAAGGATTAATTGAAGGACTGTCAACCTGCATGGTCAGCACTGATCAATGTAGCCAAAATAAGATACCTTTGAGGAGCCTCTTTAGAACTCAAGGCTTATGTGAAAAGTCTGCAATGTGGAAATCAGCAGTGCTCTGGGAAAAAAAACGAACCATTTTGAATTGACATAATTTCTGCTGGGATTAACAAAGTATTCTGATCCTGATTTGGAGCACCGTTCTCAGCCTGTAGGGGAAAGTAAGTGGGTGAATAAATTGTCCTATCTGCCCAATAAAGGAATAGTTTACACCAGCATTCATCTACATTGACCCCATGCTCACATAAGTGCTGGGAGCACTATGAGAATCCTGTTTTTTTTTTCTTTTTTATTTTCTGCAGTATTTTCAGCACCATTGTACCCACAATCATGAGGCCACTTCTTTACATTTTCATTTAAATTTACTCTTATCAAGGCATGTTCCATTATATTTAAATATTCAGCCCATCCATCCATTCGCATTCACTTATCCTTTTCAGGGTTGCGGGGGAGGCAGGGTACACCCTGGACAGGTCGCCAGTCTGTCGCAGGGCTAACACACAGGGACAGACAACCATTCGCACTCACACACTTTGCATTCACACCTATGGGCAATTTAGATTTTTCAATTATCCATTTCTACCCAGACTTTTGATGAAATGTCTTTATTAGAATCATCCATCCATCTTCTTCTGCTTATCTGCTTAGCTGCCCCTCTCCCTCTCCTGCAGGGAGAGGGAGAGGGGCAGCAGCTCAAGCAGAGAAGCCCATCTCCCTCTCCCTGGCCACCACCTACAGCTTGTCCGAGGGAACACCGAGGTGGTCCCAGACAAGTGGAGAGATATAATCTCTTCAGCGTGTCCTGGGTCTGCCTTTGGGCCCAGGAGGCATCCTTGTCAGATGTGCAAACCACCTCAACTGGCTTCTTTCGATGTGAAGGAGCTCTACTCTGAGCCCCTCCCAGATGGCCAAACTCCTCACCCTATCTCTAAGGGAGGGGCCAGCCACCCTTCGGAGGAAGCTCATTTCTGACGCTTGTAACCACAGTCTCGTTCTTTCGGTCACTACCCACAGCTCGTGACCATAGGTGAGGGTAGGGGTGTAGATTGACCGGTAAATTGAGAGCTTCACTTTTACAATCAGCTCTCTCTTCACCACGACGGACCGGTACAGCATCCGCATCACTGCGGCCACAGCACCAATCCGTCTGTCGATCTCCGGCTGCCTTCTCCCATCCAGGACCTCTGCTCCTGGCCGCCACCTGGCTCACAATGCACCCGGCCTCTGCAGCGCCTCCTGCAGGTGGTGGGCCTGTAGGAAGATGGGCCCATGTCCCTTTTTCGGGCTGTGCCCAGCTGCGCTCCATTGACTAAGGCCCCAGACCATCACACTTCCTCCTCCATGTTTGACAGGTGATGACGCACACTGTGGATCCATCCTTTCACCTACTCGACGACAAAGATCCTGTGTGATGATGAACTGAAGATTTCACATTTGATCCATCGGTCCATAATACCTTCTTCCAGTCTTCATCAGTCCAGTGTTGGTGTTGCATGGTACAGACAAGCCTCTTTGTCTTGCCTGGCTTCCACGCTGCAACTCATCCTGTCAACCCTGCAGCTTGAAGTCTTCTCTTCACAGCTGAAACAGACTTTCTTACTACGAGCACTGTTAAGCTGCTTGAAGCTGTTGTCCTGTGAGCCGCCATCACATGACCTGATTCAGTCATGTCTCTGGGTCTGTCAGACTCTTCCTGTCACAGTTTGTTTCATAGTGCAGAAGGAAACTGGACTCACTGACACCTTGACTTTCTGTGCAGTCTCTCTGTAGGACAGACCGACATTTATAAGAGTTATGATGGTCCGTCTCTCTTCCATTGTTAATTGCCTTTTTCTCACCATGTTTGTACCAACACACTGCTTTCTGCAGCACAGTACTGTTCAGCTGATGCTGACGAGGGTACCACAGTGTGTCCAACACTGCTTTATGCAGACAGAGGAATTAGTAGCACCAGCTAAAATAACCTAACACTGAAAAAATTAACAAAGCAATGTGGCAGGCAACAAAGGCAAGCAGCTGAGTATATTCACCAGATCGCCATCAATTACAAAGGAGAAAAAACTCGTAAAGGCAGCATGCAAACTGAGCAGAATACAGAATGAGCAGAGATTACAAAGAAATCAAGAAACTTACTGAGAGCAAGGCCTCTTTTACAAATCTGTCTCATACAAAAAGCTGCTGTACAGGTATTAATAGGCATTAATAATATTTCATATAGTGCAGTCAGAACAACCTAGAGCTGAATGTGCTCAAAACTGTAGGGATCGAAGTGCACTCCAGAAGAAGTCCCTCTCCAGAAGTCCCTCTCCATTACCTTACTCAACAGCACTGCTTCTGTCAGGTTCTAAGGTTTTAATGGTCACCCAATATAGACACTATCATCAAAAAAGAACAGGAGAACTCAGGAAGTTCAACCTGCCTCAGGAGCTGTTGATCCAATTCTACACTGTAATCCAGTCTGTTCTCTGCTTATCCATCACTGTCTGGTTTGGCTCAGCCGCAAAATCTGACAAGAACAGACTACAACAGACAGTGAGGTCTGCATTTTTTTTCACAAATCCAGAGTCAGGAAACAAGTAGGCAAACATCACTACAGACCCATCACACCCTGGATACAACCTGTTCCAACTCCTGCTCTGGTAAGTGCTACAGAGCACTGCCTGCCTACCTGTGAATATCACCCTACTGTCTCGTCCCACAACAAATTAAAATAATGAACCAGGAAACACATTAATTTAAAAATAATTAAATATAATTTTAATATTACTCATTAAAATCATCCATCCATCTTCTTCCGCTTATCTGGGGCCGTAAGGGGCAGCAGCTCAAGCAGAGAAGCCCATCTCCCTCTCCCTGGCCACCACCTCCAGCTTGTCCAGGGGAACACTGAGGTGGTCCCAGGCCAGCTGAGAGACATAATCTCTCCAGCCTTTGGTATGTCCGCCCTGGGGGCCTCCTCCCGGTGGGAGATGCCCAGAACACCTCACCCAGGAGGCGCCCAGGAGGCATCCTTGTCAGATGCCCAACCCACCTCAACTGGCTGTACTCTGTGCCCCTCCCAGATGGCCAAACTTCTCACCCTATCACTAAGGGAGAGGCCAGCCACCCTTCGCAGGAAGCTCATTTCTGCCGCTTGTATCCACGATCTCGTTCTTTCGGTCACTACCCACAGCTCGTGACCAGTGTTGGTCAAGTTACTTGAAAAAAGTAATCAGTAACTAATTACTGATTACTTCCCCCAAAAAGTAATCCCGTTACTTTACTGATTACTTATTTTCAAAAGTAATTAATTACTTAGTTACTTAGTTACTTTTTAAAAACACGATTTACAACCTGAAGAGGTGATAAAGCGATAGATCTTTCAGCCCAATTCTACTTTTTCTCCATAATCCATCATACAAAATGTAATCAAATGGAAAAGTCTCTTTTTAAAACTTGTTTTATTAGTGTGAATTCTCTAAAAGCATTCACAGTATTATTATTATTATTATTATTATTATTATTATTATTATTATTATTATTATTATTATTATTATTATTATTATTATTATATATTCCGTACGTTTTTTGGCATCTAATTCCTTCAAAACCGTTCAACTTAGAAAAACCATTCAAACACCATTAGATTCCTCTTCTTTTGGACATCATTGCTTGTATTTTTCTCATTTTTAACATTTATATTTTTAAAATTATTCAACTTTATTCAAGAAATTGTGGAAATACAAAGGCAAATCACTATCATATTTTCTGGGACTGTCATGTTATTAAAACTTACTGGAAGGGAACACATGCAGCAATACAAGAGACATTTGGAAGATATTTACCTTTGGAAAGCAAAACTCTATTTTTTGGACTTATGCCAGAAGGATGGACAAAGAACGATAAATACTTGTTTAATATTTTACTGGCAGCAGGCAAAAAAGCCATCACAAAAAATGGCTTTCTTCAGAGAGCCCAACTATGAACATGTGGATGGACATCACAATGGACATTCCCAGAATGGAGAACATGACAGCAGATGTGAACTACAAGAGGGACCTGTTTGTATCACGATGGAGGAAATGGATGGACTACATTAAAAAACACAGGCCAGATTTTGATTTTGCTTTAGATTCTGACTTTGTTAACTACTAGAAGACTACAGGAAATATTAGTTATATTAATGGAGACAAAAACACACTCCCTACATTTTTTTCTTTCTTTTTTCTTTTTCCTTATGTATCTTTTATTTATTTATTGTTTCCTGTTTTGCTTCTTTTTCTTTTCTTTTCTTTCTTCTTCTTCTTTCATTCTTTTTGTATGGATATTTTAGTTGTTTAAATATAGAAAAAAAAAAAGAAAAATATATGTAGTGACAAATTGCTGAAGTTGGTGGTATTGTATAGTGATTCCAAAATGTCAATTAAAAAAAGACAAAAAAAAGACCTTTTTAAATTCCTAAAATATAAATGTCCAGGGTGAAAGTCTCTAAATTATTTGTCCAATACTGTAATATCTGTGGTAAAATGTTTACAGGTCCATCACAATTACCCTACAACAAATACACACACATTTTCATTTAGTAGTTTTTATATATTATATTTATGATATTAATAGAATAGAATAGAATAGAATAGAATAGAATTTAACTTTATTGTCATTGCACATGTCACAAGTACAAGGCAACAAAATGCAGTTTGGATCCATCCAGAAGTGCTTTAGCATGATATAGATATATTACAATATACATATTAGCAATAATATAGGTATATAGACATGATATGGTAGCTATATGGTATAGCTATGATATTGTAGCTATAGTTATAGAACAAATATAGATACAGAGTAGGACTATGATTTGATTTTTTTTATTTGAAGAACAGCTTTGACAAAAGGGGTTTTCACCAGCTTTTCTGAACTGCTACAATTAAGAATTAGAAAACACAAACACACACACATCCAAGAAAAGCAGTTCTTGTTGATTAAGATGAACAGGTATGCAGACCGAATATTTTTTCAGGTTCTCTTGTGCTTTTAAAATAGTAGTATTATTCTGCCATCTGCTGGAGAAATGTGCAACATTTCATATCTGAAAAGTACTTTTCAAACTTTTTTGTTTTGAAAATATAAAAGCATTTATAAAAAGCCTTAATGAATGCTTAAACAGTGGTTTGCTGACCCCTGCGCCCCTTTTATAAGTTCTTAACTATTTTTTGCATTTTTTTTTTATTTATATTACATTTACATTTAAATCTATAACTAACTATATAACTATATATAAATGTCATCTGTGAAACAGAATATTGCAAGCAGGTTCTTTAATATTCTCCAAAAAACACACAATTTCAGTATTTTAATAACCAGCACGTGTTATTTTAGAATGAGCATAATGAATGTGAATACAACAACGTGCAAGTTTGGAATTACTTATTCCAGCTTTCAGCACCTCAGTACGGTGCTGAAAGCTTTAAATAAACCATCCCTTCAATAAATAACCACATATTAAAAGGTAAAACACTTTGACTTGTGACACATGCATTCAGCCACAATTAAAAACACAAAGTCAGTGTCTTGAGTTTCATATGTGATGTTGGATCCGCAGAATCATCATTTTCACCGAGTGGTCATCTCTGTTATGAAATTTGGCAAGATTAAAGACCTCAAAAAAGAAAGTCTCCATCTCCAGCTCATGCAACTGCATACACGTATAAATATTATCTTCACAATAGTCACAGTTCAATGTGGGCAGCCGCTGCTGTAAAGTAACATTATCACAATATTCTGCACAAAATAAGCAGATGTAGAATGCTTACGCAAGACTTCTGGAGCTCAAATACGTTAAATATAAAAACACATTAAATGTCTTTTCATGAGACTTTGTGGAGTTCCAGAATGGAAGAAAAGCTAAAGCGAGGTAATTTATGTAAAGACAAGTGATAATGTCAAGCTTTTATCTTTGATAGTCTTTGAGATAATCATCTTCAAATATTGCATCAGATTTCACATGTAAAAGGTTTCAGGTATGCCTCTTTGCTCTAAGGCTTTTATCCAGTTCACCTTTATATTACATTAAGCAGGGACTCATTGTTTTTTTCTTCCCACAAAAAATTGAGACACGAAATATACAGTCAACATTTTAATATTACACTGTAAAGTCAAACTTTTATAACCCAATAATAAAATTCAAAGTATTCACTTATCAATGAAAAGTACTGAAGGAAAAAGCTTGTGTGTAATTAAATTGTTATACTATATCTTAATGTACTATAAGTAAGATCCATTATTTTGAAAAAAATGACTGCCTTTATTATTTTATTAATTTATAACTCTTAGTTTGTCTCAGTATACACGCTATCCTGCCGTAGGTTATTGAAATGTATGCATTTGCTTGTGAGCTTTATTTAAAATACTCTTAAGTAGTTATCATGTTCATTGTAATGTACAACATGTAACACAACTGCAGTTTTAGATTGCATTACTGTTCATTTCTTGTTGCTGTGGGAAATAGAATAGCTGTCTGTGTTGTGTTGTGATTTTTTAAATGTTTTTTTAAACAGGACATTAACTCTTTCGTAATTGCTCTCGACTTAATATTAGTTAAACTTTTAGACTTCTGCAACATATGATGAGTTGCCACAGATCACACCAGCATCTTCATAGTGGGCACAGTTATGTGTCCCCACACCAGCATGTCTGCAATCTAAAAGGCTGGATTCAGTGCCTACACACTTAACATCATCAAGAAGAATCCGCAAATCCTTTCCCTCACCAAACTCAGAGTTCTTAGCTGCTTTCAGAGCATGTTGGAAACCGAGCTGCCGGCAAATCACTCTAGCATTGACAAGGGTCCACAGGTCATCACACACGGTACCCCATTCCCCATTAATGTAGATTTCTACACGTCCACGGTCACTCCTGGAATCCCCAACCAGTCTCACTGCTCCCGTCTGGATGTGAGGTGCACGTTCCAATTTGGATTTATTCTTCCTATGCCGGCCTTTACGCCTTGAATTTTTGGTTGTTTTGGAAGTACCTGTGGCTGGTACAGGAGTAATCAGGCCTGCTCCTGTTTCACCTCGATGATCACTTAGCTCTTGGTGCCATTGATAGGATTCAGTGGATTGTGGCTCAAAGTTTTCATTCGGCAGGTCAATGCCAACCAGCGCTAATGGAAGATCATGAAACAATATAGACCAAATCATATTATAAAAACTGAGATAGCTGGTTTATCATTTCAGTTTGTGTGAAGAGAATGTGTATGTGAACTCACTTTCTTGAGGAACAAACTTGATGAGATTGCTTTTTACTCTCACTGGAAGAGGGTCGTAGTGGCACTGTCTTGGTGGAGCACGTCTAAAACACAATGACAAATAACTGTTTATTGATAGATTCTCTGTTTATTCTTATTTATCCGCTGACAGTCTGTTTTTAACAGTCAAGATCAGACACGGTGATAAAGGAGGAGTTAGGTTCCTTTTATTGCTTCTCTTTGCCATCCTTTAACATTTAACATTTATTGTCCTTTTGGAAATTGACCATACCAATGAATCATTGTCGTCTGTGGAGACCGCCATTGCACTGACTGCTGTGTTTTTAGAGGGGTCTGCTTTAAGGCAGTCGTGAAATTTCCTCCCCATATGAACAGCAACAATTACTAAAAACTACTCTTCCATCTATTTACTGACTTCTGTTATTAATTAATAACCTAAATTAATCTCCCAAATTAATTAATTTTTCTCAGTGATTACATTCAAATTTACACCTAAACTGTGTCATTTGTTAGAATGCAACATCATAAGGTTCAACCGGGGAGAAAAAAAAGCTAAAATCTCTCCACTCACCAGAAAAACATGTAATGGGCATCTTGAGGCACCTAATTTTGACTGTGTAGCTAATCAGATACAATATATTGTGAAGCCCACAACTCAAGAAGAGAATTAGAACAAATACATTGTAATCACGTCGAACTTCCAGACCTCGTCTTTATTACTGCCTCTATTAACACAAACCCGTTGATCTCCTCCACTTTGACAGATTACAATTGTAGTCTCCCTGTAGTCTCTCTCCAGTTTGGCACAATCCAGACTTTCAAGATTAACAGAGAAACTCTTCACATTAGAAATGGGAGTAGAAAGGAATCACACATCTCCATCAAATCTTCAAGTTAATACACTCATGTTAGCCTCTAATCTTTTTCAAAGTTTCTGATTAGACAACAGAAATGTTCTTTACTACCTGCAACTACAAAACACAGCTAAGAAGAGAATTCCTATACTTCACAACCCCACAGATCTCAACTCTTTCCCCAAAAAAAACAATAAAAAACATGATCACAAAATCAATATAACTATTTGCAAATGAAAATAAGACTTCAAGAGTGGGTTTTCGGGCATGGATTTCTATGAGTGCATTTTTGCCTACATTTATTCTATAAGTCCATGACAAAAATACCAATTTACAACTGAACTGACAGAAGTTGAGACCTGCAGCTAAAGATGAGGCACTGAAACGGTTTATATAAGAAACAGAGAAAAGTCCCTGTCTATCTCCACATCTGTAAGAAGAGTAACACCAAATAAAAAAAAACGAAAGTGCACTTCAGCAATCCCTCAGATTGAATGCAGGAAGATGCATTATTGAGATTACTGAAAATGTTCTCACTGTATTTTCTACCTTTCCATCCCCTGATACAAATGACTGGAAATATTTTGGAATCTTGATCACAGGTCTTGATTAATAGCATGCACATGTGGGCTGTCAAGTAGCCAGGAACGCTTCAGTGACAGAATCTTACTGAATCTATATCTATGTACAGATGTTTCTCTGGACCTGACTAAAGGAACTAAACAAAAATAATGGTAAGTGGAACAGTGTGGTTATGCTTTCTCTACAAAGATGTTTCTCCCTCTAAACAACCTGTCATTGATTCTGGTGAGTTTGCCTAAATTCATATTAATTTCATTTAAAACAAACTGAAAATAATGAGTAATTCTATCACTCACCTTGAGGGATCGATGACTTTATAAACGACTCCTGAAGGTGATGTAGCACTTGGTATTGCAGTGGACATGAAGTAAAGCTCACCTGAAATGAATAACATATTTAAAGAATATTACACAAAACATTCATTTCAACTGCTTAAACCAGCTAAAAACACTACAGGAAAAACATTAACTGTGAGATTGTGAGATGATTCGTTACCAGATTCATCCTCAGCAAAGGAGATAATGTACTGGTGATAGTTGTTGATAAGTCCAGGAAAGGCACAGGTTAGCCCCATCCCCATACATATCTCGTTGTATTTCCAGTTTCCTGTTTTTTTGTCCTCCTGCAGGCTCATCAAACGCCTGGAACATAAATAAAATCTATGATTTCTAATGTGTAGGCACTTTGTGTGTTTTTTGTGTTTTTAATTTCACACCCCTTAGTACCAGTTACTTCTGCATTTTTAGAGTACTTATGAATTCCTTCAAATAACTATAGTACATTTGGTACATTGCACACTGGAGTTTTGGATAAGAAATGAAAGATACAGAAGACCTGATATTGACCTCTGATAGTGAAAAGATATGGTTGTTACAGGGACTAGAAAGAGAGAGGCCTGGACTTGGACACCGCTGTCTTAGACTATTTAAAAGTAGAATGGGAGGCAAAGCCTTCAGCTTTAAGCCTCGTCTTCTCTGGAACCAGCTCCCAGTTTGGATTGGGGAGACAGGCAACTTTTTTACTTTTAAGATTATACTCAAGACCTTCCTTTTTGACCCCGAGATACTTGAACTCCTCCACTTGGGGCAGGAACTCATCCCCGACCCGGAGTGGGCACTCTCCCTTTTCCAGCTGAGAACCATGGCCTCGGATTTGGAGGTGCTGATCCTCATTCCCGCTGATTCACACTCGGCTGCGAACCGTTCCAGTGCGAGCTGGAGGCCTTCACCCGATGAAGCCAACAGAACCACATCATCCGGGAGGAGGCCCCGGTGCAGACCCAGGACACGCTGGAGAGATTATATCTCTCGGCTGGCCTGGGAACGCCTTGGTGTTCCCCCGGACAAGCTGGAGGAGGTGGCTGGGGAGAGGGAGGTCTGGGCCTCTTTGCTTAGGCTGCTGCCCCCGCGACCCGACCCCGGACAAAGCGGATGACGATGGACCTTCCTTTTTGATAAAGCATATAGTTAGGTGACCTTTTTTAGGCTCTAGTTTAGGCTGCTAGGATGATGCACCCATGGTGAGTGAAGTATTTTTCCTTCACTCACCTTTTCAAGGTTCAAGGTTCAAGGTTCTTTATTCGTCACATGCATAGTTATACAAGTATAACACAGTGAAATGTAACCTGACACGCTCCTCGACATGTGCAAAGGGGGGGAGAGAGGAAGAAGCAAGCAGGTGAATTCTGTACATTAAGTGAATTAAATAAGAATAGACAATCTGAACATTTACAAAATAGACAATATGAACATATTTAAAATTAAAGGAATTTGAAATGTACTTTGTGGGTTTAGAGCAGGGGTGTCAAACTCAAATACACAGTGGGCCAAAATTCAAAACAGGAACAAAGTCGCGGGCTAACATTAATATTTATTGAAAAATATTTATTCCTCCAGATATAAGAATGAATCTTTTCTTATGGACTCAAACACGTTTTGCTGAAAAACTGAATATGGAACAAGCAAAGCTTAATACTAAACAATATATATATTAGCTGTATAATACCAGTAGGCCAGCTCTAATAGTCATTTGGTATGGCTTCGCGGGCCAAATGTAATTAGGCTGCGCGGGCCAGAGTTTGACACCTATGTGTTAGAGTATGTAGAAGAGAGTCCTGTCTCAGTCACTTATGGAGCAATCCTGCAGCAGCGTTCTGCTGTACGGATCACTCTCTGAAGAGCTTTTCAGTCTTTAACACAGCTGTTCCCAAACCAGGATGTGGTGTTCTGTGTGAGGATGCTCTCCACAGCGCCTGTATAGAAAATCCTGAGGATCGCTGGAGAGACCTTCACTCACTATGTATTTGTACACCACTCTGCATTTAATCATTAGTTGTTATGAATGCCTGGCTCTCTTCCACAGCTTGTGCTTTATCCTGTCTTCTCCCCATCAGCCCCCTCCAGTTGCAGCAGATAGCTGCTCCTCCTTGACCCTGGTTCTGCTGGAGGTTCCTTCCTGTTAAAATGGAGTTTTTCCTTCCCACTGTCACCAAGTGCTTGCTCAGTTGGTTAGTATCTTGCCCAACAACACTTCCACACATGGCCTAGAGAAGCAGGGACTCAACCCGGCCCCTCTATTCAGCCACATAGCTGCCATCCTATTACAATATAAAAGTATTTTTTATTTCCTAAATTAGGTGGACACTCTGAAAGTCTACACAAAAGGTTAAGATTAGCATCTTTGAGTAAGACTTGTGGAGTGGTTCTGGTCTACCTAGAATTCAGCTATCAAGACTAGTCCAACCAGGATTAGTCTTGATAGCTGAATCAATACTGATGTTGATAGATGAACCAATACTGAAATAATGGTGACCTGAAGAAGAGAAGGTCCTTCATTTTATTTGGCGAGGAACGTGGAGGGTTTGTAAAAAATGAATTTTTCAAGTAGCCATTTCTGAAATCCTAGGATGTGAATGAAGTTGCATCAAACACAGCAGTTATTTTTAATTTTTTGACAGAAACAACAGTTATTTAGATTTTGGGGGGCAGACATAACACTCCTTTAATTTCCTTTTATTTCACTACTGTTATCAAAATAAAAATAAATGTTTTAAACAATAAAATAACATCTTTCAAGTGAATCCTACCCACTCATGAAGTCTCCAAATATATAAATGCCATTCAGGTTGGGGTATTCGCAACCTCGATACACATAACCACCAGTGACTGACTTGCCCATCCTATGAGGATATGCATAAACAGGCAGGACATCATCTGTGAAAAAAATGAAAAAGGGTCATTAACTGCATTAGTATGAATCTCCATTATCAGAGCATCAGAACAGGATGTGCCATTGTAGCCATGTTAGATACATCTTAGTTCAACATTGGGTTGGGTTCAGTCAAGTACCAACAAATGATTTGTCATCCATATTTGACTGATAAGCTAAATGTAATTCTGAATTTTTAAGCAAATATTTATTGCGTTGCTAATTAAGAGTGATTCTGAATATAAACTCTGCCATTAATTTGGAAAAATGTAGGACCTGATTCAGAAGAAGAAATGTGGGGGGAATCAGTGACAATGAATCATGTAATGGCGACAGTGAGAGAGTAATAGTGTCTCTATTGAACAAGACATTTATGTAAACTATTCAGTAATTGTATGATGTTTTTGTTCATACAAAAACTGCAAAATATACTCAGCATCTGATTTATCAGGTACGCTTATTAAACTGCTTGTTAATGCAATCAGCCAATCATGGCACCTACTTAATGGGTTTAGACACAATCAAAACAACCCGCTGAAATTCAAATCAAGCATCAGAATGAAGAAGCAATTACTTTGGATATGGCATAGTTATTAATGCCAGACAAGACGGCTGGACTATTTCAGAAACTGTTGACCAAATTCTGATTTTTCCACATAACATGGGCTAACCAAAATAAAAGAATGGAAAAAAGTTGCCTGAAGTGGTGATTTTGGATGGTAGGCTGGTGGCAGTGGTATAATGGTGTGGAGAATATTTCCTTGGTCCACTTTTTGTCCCTTCACACCTCTGAGCATTGTTTAACTGCCACAGCCTAATTTGATGCATGTTCAGTCTTCCATGTAAGAAAAACCAGAAAGTTGATTTCACCAGAAGAATTAACGCACTTCTGAGTGCAAAATGGTGACTAGTCTGAGACAAGTGTAGACTGATTGTGCTATTTTTAAAGCAATGAATAAATTACACAGACAAATCTTTAACATACATAATAGTACATTGATGTGGCATACCTACCTAATGAACTGTTGGCACATAGTTTCTTATCATAGCAAGAGAAGCCTTCTTTAGCTCTCCAGCCATAATTTCGACCTTTCTCGATTATATCGATTTCCTCGAACTTGTTCTGGCCTACATCCCCACAAAAGATACGCCCTTTGCCGTCTTTGGTCCATGGATCACCCCGGTCCACCGAACACCTCCACATATTGCGAACACCGTAAGCATAAACCTCCGGGCGTGCTCCCTGTTCATGTATAAACGGGTTATCTGGAGGAATTCTGTACAATGGACCTCTCTGGTTGTCATCCACATCAATTCGAAGCACTTTACCCAAGAGAGCTGACCTACAACGTAAAAAATGTTGATCTTTCACTACATATTGATTGTCAGTGTTTCCACAGTTTTTAAACAGCAATACCATCAGTACTCTCATCCTCTCTCCTCTTTAACAGACACACAACAATTCAAGCTGTATATTTTTGTATAGTTGTCATATTTATCTTTAAAACATTGTAATAAAAAATTGAAAATTTTTACTCTTTTTGCAATTTCTTACTGAACACGAACTGAACATAATTTTCACCAGATTGTAATGAAGGTTATAATGTCATAACAACATGCCTGTAAAGAAAGCACGTGGCAGATTTTTTCATCTAAAATGTCAAGAAACATACAAGATTATACATTCAAATGAGCTTTTTTACATTTTAATGAATAAATGTTTTACTTTTTCATTTTTGGATGTCTAATTATGAGCTCCTTACTTGTTCTGAGCATTCCCATATTTCCCAAATGGGTCTCCTGCCATTCCACCATCACCTGTGAAAATATACAAGTACCCATCATCTGCAAATAGCAGCTGCCCTCCATTATGGTTGGATGCCGGTTCATCAATCTCCAGAATAACTCTAAAGGAAAATGTTGATACAAGAAATAAGGAATAGATCGGGTGTTAAAACAAATTTACACAAAAAAACACAAAAGAATTGATGCAAACGTTTGTTTCTCTCTGATAATGGTCAATATGACAAAAAGTATAAAACTGCAAAACAGTTCAGGTTTTAGAAAAAGGTAGTGCTTTTTGCTAACCAAGTACAACAGTTCATACCTACCGCTCAGAGGTGTGGTCCACCTCATTCATGTCATTGGCTGATACGTGGAACTCACTGATTCTGATTCTCTCATCAAAACCCACCTCCACTGAGTAATACACATACAGCTTCCCATTGTACTTGTATTTGGGGTGAAAGGCAAGTCCGAGAAAGCCTCTCTCATCACCTTCCCACGATGATGTTAGCACTGCCTGGGTAATGTTCAAAAATGGTCTCTCCAGCTTGGACCGATCTGGAAGATAGGTCCACACCAGGCCGACCTGTTCTGCCACAAAGAATCTATGTGTGCCATCATTGGCATGCACCATGGCTAATGGATTCTGGAGACCATTGGCCACTTCTTCCAGGCACAGCTGCAGACAGCCATCTGAGTTCACCTGAATGCCACCAAGGTTCTGGGTGAGTTGCTGGTTGTTAAGCAGATATGGATAACAGTAGTCCTTGTCGTGTATCTCCAGGTAATGGCAGAGACTGGTCTGATTTTCTCTGAAGTTTGCTATATATGGGTCACCAGACAAGAAAGGAATGGTGAAAGAACACTTATTCCAAAACTGAAAGCAGTATTCAGAGCAGAGGCCTGGGATGGTCCTGACCGGGGTGCTTGGATCCTCAGCATCAAAGAGGTGAGCTGCATAGGGAGAACACTCCTGAGATCAGACAGATGGAGGAGAGACAAAAAAGGAGGAAAAGAAGAGACAAGCAACAAGAAGGAACAGTTAGTGCCACTGATAGCATGTAAAGTGGTCTTTAAACCTGCATTAGTTGTTTTTGTTACATGGATTACAATATGAACAAGTTACAAATACAGCGTACATAGGACAAGCATGATTTTAAATAAACTGCTTATTGCTGCAGTTTAACATCTGTCAAATGTAGAGGCTTTGCATTCATTTGACATTATGTATCCTTTATATAAATCTTAGTCCAATACTCTCAGGGAACTGTCATCCCTTTACCTACTTGTTCTTCCATTACAAAGAAAAAAAGTCTGTAACTCTCTTTGCCCATTGTTTCCTGCTGTGCACAGTCTTATATAAAAGCCTCTCTTGTGAAATAGTATTAGTGATGTCAGTGAACTAAACCAGTAAAGTTGTGGGCCATAACACAAAATATTGTTGAGCTTAAAAAGCTAAAATGGAGACAGCAGCAATATTTCTTAATGTTAAGAAAGTTCATTCAGCCCTTATGACTAAAGGAGATATATAGAAGAGATATATAACTTTAGTCTTGACCCATATCCGTATATATAAAATGATATGTCATGGTCAGGTGTGCTAAATTCTGCATAGAACTAGGGTTCTCCCTGTGCACTTTAACCACCTTGTATTCAGATAATTGAATAGATGATGGTAAATGAATATTAATGTTAAGAATGAATAATAATGTACTGAAGTACATTATTATTCATTCTTAACATTAATACATACTTGCAAAGCAAGATTACTGCAGGTTATTGTATTGAGATATGCCTGTAGATGATAAGGAGCATAATTCCATCTATTTCCTATAGCCTGCTTTACCAGTAATGACAGAACATAAATAAAGCACTAGATTTTCAGACAAATCTTTCATAGCCTTTACTGTATATCAGTGTAAGCTTTCAAAGTCGTCATGACATTTTTTAACTTGTTTGTTGTTTTGCTTCTGTTGCTTATTTCACAGCAGTTGTTTTGTTTGGCCAGTGTAATGGTAGGTCCTGGACTCAGCCAACCGACCTTTGTCCACGTGTTCCTACCTGGCAGAGCAAGTCAAAGATGAACCCGGCACAGCTGGTATATCCACTGTAGTCAAAATTATCCATAATCTGGTAGTATTTAGACATCAGCTCCTGGTCCTTCTGATAATCACAGCAGCCAAATTCCTTGTACATTATACAAAATTCCAGCTCCTTCTGCGGTCGGAAGGGCGGTTTAAAATCCAAACACTGCGGGTGTAACATCACAGGTGCAAAACATAGTGTCAAAAACAACAGAGTAGACCAGAGCCACAGATGGCTGGTGATTTTTCCACAACACCGCTGCATCACGGCTCACACTGCGTGACATGGGAGGACAGATTTTTCGAAAGAGGCTTCCCGTGTGGACTTTGATCATTTGCATTGCTCAACGCTCTGACGTGGTGAAGCGCAGGTCGGCGTTTTTTTTTTTTATGTTTGCTCGAGTTTTAGCAAACATAGTTTTAAGCAGTTTGAAATTACAAAGAAAATGTCATCATTCAGTCATTTTAGTAAGTACTGCATCAGTTATGTACAACAGTTTTTTTCAGAACTGACGAAGCAGTCAGTCCTCCGAATCCGACTTTGCGACTGACATTATTGCACTTTGTACATCAGAATAACTAACCCATTTATTTCCAGAGGGGGGCTGAGAAACAATCTTATGCTTCAAAGTAGGAAACAGAAAAATTATGACACGCAAATATGTTTTAAAGTGGTTTGAATGAGGAGTTATAAATTACACTGGGAAGATTTAGTTAACCTTCTTGTTGCCTTCGGTTGAAAAACGAAGCCAAGCTGTTTAATAGCAGAGAAAACGCCTTTTACTTTATCACCTGGAAACCCTGTGTTCTGTTCCTAAGTTAAAACCAACATTAGATAAATCGAAATATCACCTTTCTCCATATTTCCATTTAAGCTGTAAAACGCTTGTGTACAAAGACTGTCGTCGGCTCAGCTAAACTCACAGTCAGCGAGTCAGTCAGGCAGACTACACACATGCAAACATAAACACACTCTTGATTGATCTTTGACTGAAATTGTGTTTATTACATTATGTTCCACCAGTTTTCTATTTTTGGCTACAATACTTTCTCAGGAATTTAACAATTTTTTATTTATTTTAATTTTTTGTTCAAATACTGCTGGATCACATTTTCAATGTTCAAACCAATGACTGTATAAAAGATTTTTATACAGTCATTGGTTCAAACACACACACACAC